GAACATCTCTCCATCTATCTCTACATCTTGCGCGCGCGCGCAATGTCGTCGTCGTGCAGTTAACATGCGAACATCTCTCCATCTATCTCTACATCTTGCGCGCGCGCAATGTCGTCGTCATGCAGTTAACATGTGAACATCTCTCCATCTATCTCTACATCTTGCGCGCGCGCAATGTCGTCGTCATGCAGTTAACATGCGAACATCTCTCCATCTATCTCTACATCTCGCGCGCGTGCAATGTCGTCGTCATGCAGTTAACATGTGAACATCTCTCCATCTATCTCTACATCTCGCGCGCGCGCGCAATGTCGTCATCATGCAGTTAACATGTGAACATCTCTCCATCTATCTCTACATCTCGCGCGCGCGTGCAATGTCGTCGTCATGCAGTTAACATGCGAACATCTCTCCATCTATCTCTACATCTTGCGCGCGCGCGCAATGTCGTCGTCATGCAGTTAACATGCGAACATCTCTCCATCTATCTGCTATCCTACATCTTGCTCGCGCCGCAATGTCGTCGTCGTGCAGTTAACATGCGAACATTCGCTGCCATCGCTAAATCCTCTACATCTTGCGTGCCGCGTGCATGTCGTCGTCATGCGCAGCTTAAACATACTGGAACACATCTCTCCATGCTAAAATCTCCCTACATCTTGCGCGCGCCGCACTGTCGTCGTCAATGGCCAGTTAACATGCTGAACATCTCTCTCTCACTATCTCTACAGATCTTGCGCCGGCGTGCGCCGCAAACTGTCGTCGTCATGGCAGTTCGAACATGCGAACATCTCCCATCCTATCCTCTACATCTTGCGGCGCCGGGCGCCAATGTCGCTCGTCCGTGCAGTTAACATGCGAACATTCTCTATCCCTCTGATCTCTCACATTCTCGTGCCGCCCCCGGTTCGACCCGTGCAATGCTCAGTCGTCGTCGGCAGTTAACCCATGCGAACATCGTCTCCAATCCTACTCTAACATCTTGCGCCGCTGGTGCAATCGCTCGTCAATGCACAGTTTAACATGCCGATGACATCTCTCCATCCTATCTCTACATCTTGCCTTGCGCGGCGGTGTGTCCAATGTCGTCGTCAGTGCAGTTAACATGGCGAACCATCATCTGCCACTATCTCTACAATCCTCGTGCGCGGCGCGCAAGCTGCTCCGTCGTCGTGCCAGTAACATGCGAACATCCTCTCGGCATCTATCTCTACCATTCTTGGCGCAGCCATATCGCAGCCGCAATGTCCGTGCGTCCGTGCAGCTTAACTAATGTGAACATCTCTGCCATCTATCTCTACATCTTGGGCCGGCGCCTGGGTGCAATGTCCGTCGTCCGTGCGATTAACATGCGAACAATCTCCTTCCATCTATCTCTACAATCTCTGCCGCGCGCGGCATGCGGCTAATGTCCGGTAAGTCGTGCAGCCCTTCAACGATGTCGAAGCATCATCTCGCATGCTATCTCTAGCCACTCTGCGCGCGCGCGCAATGTTGTCGTCGTGCAGTTAACATGACGCACACATCTCTATGCCATCAATCTTCTACATCTCGCGCGCAGCGCGGCATGCTCGTCGCTCGTGCAGTTAAAACGATGCGAACAATCTCGTCACATCCTATCTGCTACGGCTCTCGCCGCGGCGCCGCGCGAGCGCACGCATGTCGTCGTCGGGTGCCAGGTTAACAATGTGACACGATCTTCTCCATCTATCTCTACAGTCTGCGTGTGTGCTCGACCAGGTGAATGCGAGATCGCAGTGCCTCCGTGAGTGCGGGAGGAGAACGCTGAGGGCAGCAGGCAGAGTCGAGTCGAGACGCGGCGACGCGCGAGAACGCGCTGAAGCTGCGACTGCGGCCTCCACGACCGAACGGAGCAGGCGGCTGCAGGAGTAGACTCCACCGCTACGTATCCCCCCCCCCCACCCGCACCGCCCCGTCCGGGGTCTACGTGAGGGTCGGCGGTTTGTGGAGGGCGTCGGGTCGCCTGGATGTGTGGTGCGAGTTGGGCCGAGGCACGGATTAACAGGAGCTTGACCGTTAAGCTTGACCCGTTGGTTGCAGAGTTCAAAGATACAGGAGTTGAAGGCAGCGCGCAGACCACCGAGCGCAGTAGACACCGAGCGCACTACAGCTGCTGTCCATGTTGCTCCATAGTTAGACTCACAGAGCTTGACCGTAGCTTGACCATAGTTAGACTCACAGAGCTTGACCGTAGGCTTGACCGTTGGTTGCAGAGTCAGATACAGGAGTTGAAGCAGGCACAGACACCGAGCGCACTACAGCTGCGGTCCATGTTGCTCCATAGCTAGACTCACAGAGCTTGACCGTAGCTTGACCATAGTTAGACTCACAGAGCTTGACCGTTGGCTTGACCGTTGGTGCAGAGTCAGATACAGGAGTTGAAGNTCTCTCCATCTATCTCTACATCTCGCGCGCGCGCAATGTCGTCGTCATGCAGTTAACATGCGAACATCTCTCCATCTACATCTTGCGTGTGTGTCGCTACAGGTGATGAGATCGCAGTGCTTCGTGAGTCGGAGGAGAAGCTGAGGCAGCAGCAGATCGAGTCGACGCGGCGCGAGAACCTGCTCGTGATGCGGCTCACGACGAAGGAGCAGGAGCTGCAGGAGTACTCCGTACGTATCCCCGCGCGCGTCCGGGGTCACGGAGGGGTCGTGGAGGGGTCGGGTCTGGATGTGTTGGTGGAGTTGGGGCCGAGGGAGGATTAACATAGCTTGATGCATAGCGTGATGCGGCTCACGACGAAGGAGCAGGAGCTGCAGGAGTACTCCGTACGTATCCCCCCGCGCGTCCGGGGTCACGGAGGGGTCGTGGAGGGGTCGGGGGTCGTGGAGGGGCTGGGTCTGGATGTGTTGGTGGAGTTGGGGCCGAGGGAGGATTAACAGAGCTTGACCGTAGCTTGACCGTTGGTTGCAGAGTCAGATACAGGAGTTGAAGCAGGCGCAGACACCAAGCGCACTACAGCTGTGGTCCATGTTGCTCCATAGTTAGACTCACAGAGCTTGACCGTTGGTTGATCGTTGGTTGCAGAGTCAGATACAGGAGTTGAAGCAGGCGCAGACACCGAGCGCACTACAGCTGCGGTCCATGTTGCTCCATAGTTAGACTCACAGAGCTTGACCGTAGGCTTGACCGTTGGTTGCAGAGTCAGATACAGGAGTTGAAGCAGGCACAGACACCGAGCGCACTACAGCTGCGGTCCATGTTGCTCCATAGTTAGACTCACAGAGCTTGACCGTAGGCTTGACC